GGCAGTTCACGTTCAGAGGGTGTCAAACGTCCTGGCGGACAGCCTGTTTCGGTTCATTCCCCTATTCATGGAATGGATGGTCGACACTGACTCGTTCAGTTGGCTCTGCCGGATGTACGGGCGCTTGGTGGTGAACCTCTTTGCAATGGAGTGGTTGAAGTGTCTTCCAGTGAAGGTGGCGCCCTTCCCAGACTGCGAGGCCATTGGGGTCGATGCCTTTTGGCTGGACTGGTTGAGGTGGGGTTACCTGTACCTCTTCCCATCGGTTTGGTTGTTACTCTGAGTCCTGGCTCGCTTGGAGACTTACCAGGGGAGAGTAGTCCTGTTGGCTCCTTCGTGGCCAGACCAGCCCTGGTTTCAGGCGCTTCTTGCTTGATGGCCGAACCTGAGGGTCTTCCCGTGTCTCCGCCTCTCAGCAGATTGGTTCGGTCCGGTACGTGGCTGGTTCGATCTCCTCCACTCTTCGCATCTGGTCTTTTTGACTCTGCTTTATCACCACTTGTATGGTGATCAAGTGGCTTCGTTGATGGTATCGCACCTGCGAGTTTCGTCTCGATGGCAGTATGAAATTTCCTGGCGTTCCTTTCGGCACTTTTTGTCTCCGTAGGTTCTCTTCAATTTCTGATCGGGTTGTTTTGTCCTTTCTCTTGGTTGTTTCAGGACCGTCATCTTATGCCAAATACTGTTGCCTCGTATCGTGTGGTGCTGGCAGAGCCGCTGCAGCTTGTATTTGGGATGGATGTCACTTCTGCTCCGTTCTGCAAGCTTTCTCGGGCTTTGTTTCACCCGAAAAAAAACCTCTGGTTGGCATTTTTTTCGTGTTTTTGATACTCGGCCTCTGAACTGAGGAGAGTAGCCGGCTGGGAGGTCTGGGATCTGGGGTTACGCAGACGGATGTGCGGCGGTTGTGGTAACGTCATGCTATTTTCCCTGTTTTTGATTGGGGAGTTCTACTTGCTAGTTCGGCTTTCAGTTTGCAATTTTTAACCAGCAGTAGTCTGTTTTGGAATTCCTACCTCTCTGGGTGCCTTACCTGGTAGATGGCAGACAAAGACTGCTTCCAAATACACGGGGCTGTCTTCAGGCCATTGTTCCTCGTGCCTCTCTTGAGGGGGGGGAAGGGGGGCCAGGTTCTGGCTCTGGTCCCTGGTAGGTCTAGAACTCCTTCAATTGACTGTTACCATGGTAATATATACACGTCATCCCTGTATAGCTCCGGGGAGCCTCCGGTTCTCGCCCAAAAAATGGTGTTGCATTACATTCAATGCTAGGTTTCTTACATATACATGTTTAGAGAAGGGAATTTATCATTTTACAAAGATAAAAAAAATTTGCGAACACTTGATTTTATGCACACGGAATGTCACAATGAACTCGGCGCATCACAGTGGTTAACACTTTAGTCCGGGCATGACGCAGCATTGCGTCATCCACTAAACTAATTGCCCAAAATCAGGTTTTTTCCGATTTTTGGGGCGACTGTTTGGTAACTGTCAACAAGCCGAATGCAATCTTGGACTACAATACAAACATGAAAGGTGTTGATCACTTTGACCAAATGATCAAATATTATCACTTCATAAGGAAAACTCACAAATGGATGAAGAAAATGACCATCTATTTTGTGGAAATGGCTATCTACAATGCTTATGTGATGTACAACTACTACACAAAAAATACTGAACTATAATACTACATATACTAAAATACTAAATACTAAACATTTGTGGGCAGGAATTGGGAGTGTAGCTGGAAGGCGTCTGGGCGCTCACTTGCGGCTAACGCGTGGCCCGTCTTCAACTCGTCGGCGGGTGGAGCGTGACCAGGTTTTTTATTTTATATGCTAATGTTCCCCTAGAGAATTCTATTGCGAACCCATTGATACCAAATGAAAGGCCTAGGATGAAAATTGAGGTGACCAGAGTGAAAAGAGTGAACACATTTTATCGCTTTTGCGTGCTCCTGGGTAACTCGTTCGCACTTTCTCTGTTTGCTGCGAGTAATTAGCCGGGCTTTTGGAGTTTATATGCATTTAGTGCTGTAGAGAATTCTATTGCGAACACAATGATACCAAATTTAATCTTGTAGGACGAGAATTAAGGTGACAAAGTTGAAGAGAGTATACACTTTTCAGAATTAACGCGCGCTCCCATGAAAGGCTGGGACCCAAATCGCACAGTTGAGGGGTGGCGGGCGGGGCACGCCAAAGTGTTAAGAGAAGCCTTACCACAGCTGGTTGTCCAGCAGAGAGAGAACCCTGTTATCTAATGCCCTGCAACTCTGATATGCCTGTCGATTGCCAAAACGGGGATCACGGTGAACCCCTGGAAGAATGGTAGACAGTTGGTGTAGGACTACATTTGCATTTGAAATGTGGCCAACACCTATGTTGACTTCAGTGCTGCACGGGCTCACCATAGCCCGTGTTACTTGGAACTTTTTGTTCCAAGTAGCGAATCTTAAACAACAACAATGCACAGGCAGGCGATGCTGCCAATCACTGGGGAGCAGCCAAGTCGCATAAATACAGAGATCTTGATCATCACTACAATTTTGTCCCTATTGCCTCAGAGACACTTAGTGACTGGGGTAAAAGTGCTGCTAGTTTTTTGAAGGAGCTGGGTTCCATGTTAATTGAAACAATTAAAGACCCTAGAGCCAAACCTACACCCCCACCCCTCTACCCTCCATCAATACAATACTGTACTGTACTCCATTTGACTGTTGCACGGATGTTGGCACTACAGCAAAATGCTAAAGGACACTCAAATGAGTTTGTTCAATGATTTTGTGCATGAATAGGGCACATGGGGACCTGGAAGAATGTATGGTTGAATGATCATTAGGTGGATGTTCATACAGCGGGAACTCCCTGTACATCAATTTTGTGCCTTGGGGAATTTTGTGGAGTGAGCCACAGAATAGTGTCTTTAGGCGGAGGGTCATTGGGCTACCAATGTGGCCCTAGTCATATTTTCTGGGGGTAGCCCCTTGTGGCTCCCTGAAGTTATTATACTGATAGTGCCAAACTACTAGGGTGCCATCAGTCGCGGAGTTCTTATTGGTCTTCCGGAACCACGAGCCAGAACCTGGGCCCCCTCAGAGAAGCACAGGGAGCAGTTGTGTTTTGAAAATTTTTAAGTAAATTTATTCATGTCTGCCACCACCAAGAGAAGGCACCCAGAAAATCAGTGAAACAAGACAGATCACTGCTTGGTTAAGACCATAATGCCATCTCAAAATAGACTGAAGAACTTCCCCAACAATGTAAACAAATGATAAAAAATTTGGAAACTAGTGAGCTAGTTTTCCCCAACTCCCCTCCCCTTGCCCTATTTGGGGAAAGGAGAGAGGCAGACAGGGTCAGCCAACTGCTGCACCACCAGTCCTTATGCAGATGTAGAGTGCCTGGTCTCAGTTCGCTCTGGTTCCAGTCTCTGTCTTCAGCTCTGTCTTCAGTTGCCTTTGAGGCTGTTCTTGTGTGTGTGTGTGTGCAGCATGAGCCAGGAGTTTTGTGCATTTGGAGTTGCATGTGCTCAGGGTTCCCTTCCCTTCCCTGTGTGCTCCCAGTGCTGCTCTGGCAGAGTCGGGGATATCTTCCCTGGTGTGTTTGGAGTTGCTCCCTTAGGGGTCTCTTCACTTGTGGTGTCTTACATATCAATGACTGACTAGTTGGTGAGTTGAAAGTCTCTTCCTAACCATACTCAGACCTTGACATAGCACTCGGGAGAGTGCGAAGGACTTGGAGTAAATCCACATAAAGTTCACAAATACAAAAGTGTGGATTTTGTTCCTATGTTATGTTGATGAAAAGACATTGCCATTACTTATTACGAGGTATCATTAATTATTGTGAGGTATTCTATTTTCATTGTTATTCTTCATATCAGAGCGAGTAGTTCCGTTTTTTCTTGACTTTTTCTTCATCGGCATCTTATGCTGAATACTGTTGCCTCTAACTGTGCAGCATTGGCGGAGCTGCTCCAGCTTGCATTTGGAGTCGATATCTCTTCAGCCCCATTTTTCAGGCTTTCTCGCGCATTATTTCATCTCCAGCCCACTCGTGTGCCACCAGAGCCTGCCTTGTCGCTCGACTGGGTTCTTTATTTTCTTTTGTCCGCTTGGTTTACAGAGGCCCCTTTTGGTCTGGGACTGTTTTTTGAAGGCGTTATTTTTACTTTCTATTACTTTTGGTTGTCAGATGGGTGAGCTTCATGCTCTCCTTCGACACTGGGGTTTTTGTTCCTATGGGCTTGGTGGGCATTTTGTTTGCAGCCGACACCTTCTTTTCTGGTGAGGAATGAATAGTTGACTTCCAGAGGGGTCCTTTGGTCATGGACACATGGTTAGCTTGGCCGGGGATGCCACATGTGCTTTGTATGGTGGCAGGTTTATGCAACTACTTTTGTTCCACCGGTTCTGTTTCAGTGGACTCTTTGTGGGCTGATCAGGTTTTCTTGTTTTCCTGTTCCAGTGCTCGTATTTTTCAGGTCATGTGCAGTGTCATTAAATTTAGCCAGCCTGTGGTCTACCCTCTTGCCCATGATGTGTGCAAATATGCCTCTCTGTTGGCTGTACTGTATTTGCTAATGTCTTGGGCCGATATTCGAGCATCGGTTTTGGCGATTGAATTGTTATTTCATTACGTTCAACGCTGGATTTTCAAAATGGAGTCTATTTACTATTGTCCCTGGGCAGCATCTGGTTGCCCCATTTACCCTGCTGGACTTTTAAGGCTTACTCGGTACTTTAAAACATCTCTGACTATGTCGCACAATTAACGGATAATTAGCAAGAACATCCCTGGTTGTGTCGCACAGTTGAAGGGGTTAATTTATATGTTCTGCATTTGTGGTTTTACTGGTGGTGGCTGTCATTAATTTTGTCCCCTGTGAATTATAAAGGTCTTCTGGATATATTTTGAAAGTTTTCTTTTTTGTTTTGTGTTTGGATATTTTATTATGTTTTTGCTTTATCATTAACTTATTTTCCTGCACTAGCTCGTGGCATGATTCCTCAAGATGTCCAAGTGTTCTTATGCTCCCCCAAAGTATGCATACCTGGATGACGATCTTGAAGACCAACATGTAAGTACTGTATACATAAAGTACTGAATTCGTATATTAATTTATCATCCATGTTTTCCAGTTATTGACACCTTGGCTTACGAATCCCCCCATTTACGAATTTTTCGGGTTATGAGCCCAATTTCTTCGTAAAATTTGAATCGGGTTACAAGTTTTGCTTCGAGTAACATAGTTTGTCGATATGCGTATGGGAGACCTAGCAGTTGGTTCCTGGTGGCACAGTTACCCCACGCTTCAGTTTACCAGTGCCTCCTGCTTAGTGATGATCACGCTTGAATTCTTTGTAATGAACAAAGCTTTTAGGGTTTTGAACATAAAAGTAATTTATATATCACGCCTTGGGTCCCAAGAAAGTCAGTGGTAAGGTTCAACCTAAGAAAATACATGTGAGGATGACCATAGAGCAAAAACAAGAGATCATTCGTAAACATGAAAATGGTATATGGATGGTTGAACTAGCTAGGCAGTACAACAAAACTTCAGGGGAGGAGGAGGAGGCAGTAGATGATGTCCCTTCCTTATTAAGAAAATATGTGCAGTATGGGAAGAACTGCAAAGTTGCACTGAAAAGACTCGCCCGGATAAAGCTTTAGCAGACTGTTGCATTGACCTTATTAATGACAATGTGATGTCTCCAATGACAATGACAATGATGATGACTACAGAAGAAGTGTTAAAATGTAGGGAAAAAAAGTGTCTTTAGACAGATTCTTAGTAAGACAAGCATGCAGTGAGTCACAATCAGGTTCTAGTGGTATGCCTGCAAAACGTAGGAGAGTACACCCCCAGAGAAGTACTCGCCTAATTGTACTCCCCTAATTGTGCTTGCAGGGGTTGAGCTTTGGCTCTTTGGTCCCGCCTCTCAACTGTCAGTCAACTGGTGTACAGATTCCTGAGTTTACTGGGCTCTATCATATCTACATTTGAAACTGTGTATGGAGTCAGCCTCCACCACATCACTGCCTAGTGCATTCCATTTATTACCTACTGACACTGAAAAAATTCTTTCTAACGTCTCTGTGGCTCATCTGGGTACTAAGTTTCCACCTGTGTCCCCTTGTACATGTTCCACCCGTGCTGAAGAGTTTGTCTTTGTCCACCCTGTCAATTCCCCTGAGAATTTTGTAGGTGGTTATCATGTCTCCCCCTTACTCCTCTGTTTTCCAGGGATGAGAGATTCAGCTCCTTTAGCCTTTCCTCTTAGCCTTTTAGCTTGCCAGAAGTCATCAGTGCCTGATGATATAATGGAAGGGGACTCCCCTTCCAAACACTAACACTTCTCCTCCTCCCCCTCTCCTCACTGTCTTCCATATGCCAACAAGAGTCATCAATAAAGGTAAGCTATAACTTGAACATACTATAGTACTAAATATTTGTGTTTATTAGGTATGAAATGTATTTTGAGTTAATATTTTTGGGAGTGTGAAATGGATTAATTAAATTTACATTACTGTATCCACTCGCTAATCTGGACTATGTGGGAAGGACCCCCAGCCGGATTATCACGTTTTCCAGATTAACATACTTTTCTGTGGGGAGCCCCTACGACTCCCTGAAGCTTATCGGGCTAATGTATGTTATATTAGACCAGGACATTAGCTAAGGAGTTCAGACCTACCAGGGACCAGCGCCAGAACCTGGCCCCTGCAGAGAGGTTTCAGGGAGCAATGGCCCTGGAAAACCCCCGTATGGTTGGGGTTTTCCTTATTTGCCATTGACCGGGGCTTGGCACCCAGAAAGGTAGGCATAACAAAACAAACCCCACATGGTAAAAAACTAAAAAAAAAAACGAACAGAGCAGTAGAAACTCCGTACAATCCCAAGAAAACAAGCAAACATCACACTTTACTGCCGCGCAGCCCTCCCCGCCCCGAGAGGGGGAGGGGGGAGCCCCGAACCTACCGCGCCAGCTGCCTAGCTTCTGTTCATAAGCTAATGTCAACCGGGATAGACGCTTCTCTGGCCTCGGTTTTCTAGGCGGTGTTTGCCTTGTGTGGCGTTGACTGCCATGTGTTGTGTTGTGCGGTGGCCAGGAGTACCTCATCAGTGCCGGGGCTGCATGAGCTTAGGGGCTTCCTTTCCTAAGCATCCTGTGAGTACTGCCCCTGCGTGTCAGGGTTATCTTCCCTGGGGCGTTCGGGAACCATTCCCGTAGAGGTTCTTGCTGCTCGGCATTTGCCTTGCCCTTGGGTGCTGCCCTGCTCGCCACACCCTCGCCAAGGGTGTGGCGAGCAGACCTTTCCAGATCGCCGGGTTTGGTTTCCTGATGATCTGGAGGCCATTCCATCTGTTTCCGTCCCGGGTTCGGACCTGGCTGGGCCTTGTTTAGGGCTCTTAGGCCGCTCCTTGTCTTTCCCTCCAGAAGTGTTGCTGCTGCTGTGGTCCCGCCTTCGGCTGTTCATGAGGGGTCCCGGGTTGCTCAGCGGTTGCTCGAGCAGTTGTGCGGGAGTCTAAACTTCGACATGCTGGTCTGCACGTGGGGTTGGGTTTGGCTTTGGCGTCTGTTTGGTTCCTTCGGAAACTCCCTTTCCGCCTCTCTTGCAATCATTGGGTTCGTTCCTCCGGAGATCTTGTGTTGGTGCTGCGTCACCTGCTTCCTCTTTGGGGTTTTTGGGGTTCCGTGCCTTGGCACCTTCCCAAGCCTTCCCTCAATGTGTTCACGGACGGATCATCTCTCGGCTGGGGCTTTGAGACCAGTGCTCACCAGATTGGCCGGGAATGCTGGGGGTCTGTCAGTCCATCGGGCTCACAGCACGGTTCGGGAGTTCGTGGCTGTCTGGTTTGCGCTTCGGAGGGCTTAGGGCACTCGGTGCTCTTCCATTCAGCTCCTTTCGGATTGTTCTCTGGCGATTCTTTGCCGGAACCACAGGGTTTCTCTTCGGTGTTGACCTTTGGGGTTGGTTCCTTAGAGTGGCTTGTTTGCTGGATTCTCGGGGTTTGGCTAACCGTGAGGTTCATGTCCGGGGTGTGTCCTGTGTCCTGGCGGACAGCTGTCTCCGTTCATTCCTCTGTGTGCGGATTGGCCAGTCGTCGCCGACTCGTTTTGTTGGCTCTGCCGGACATATGGACTCATGGACGTCTTCGAGTCAGAGTAGTCTAGGCGTCGCCCATTTTTTGTGGCGCCCTTACCCGCCTGTGAGGTGTTCACGGTGGATGCTTTTCGGCAGGACTGGTCGAGGTGGAGGTACCTGTTCCTCTTCTCCCGGTCCAGCTGTTGCTTCGGGTTCTGGCTTGGTTGGAGCCCATTCCCATGAGAGTAGTTCTTATGGTTCCTTGGTGGCCGGCCCAGCTTTATTTTTTGACGCTGCTTGATAGGTGGGCGCTTTTGGTTGTCTTCCGGCCTCTGGTGGCAGCGATGGACGGCTTCTTCCCCTTAGGGGGGTTCAGGGCTGGCGGGGTGGGCTTCTTCCCCTGCACTTCGTCATGTCATCTTAGTGGGTGCGTTGGACGTGGTCGATCCGCCCCATCCTTCTGGGGTTCCCGTCTGCTCTTTGCAGACGGGAACCCGTCTGCTCTTTGCATTACAAACCCGGGGCGTTTTCCCGCGGCTCTGCCTCTTTCGGCAGGTCGGATCGGTCCTGTACGTGACTGGTTCGGCTTTCTCCTCGGCTCTTTGCGTCTGGTATTTTGACGCAGGTATCACCATCTCTGTGATGATCAGGTGGCTTTGTTGACAGTGTCCCACCTGCGAGCTTCGTCTTGGCAACAGTATGACGTTCCTGGTGTTTCTATGCACATTTTCTTGCTCTTCGTAGGTTGTCTTCTCTTTCGCATCAGGTTGTCTTGTCCTTTCTTGGGTTTTCAGGACTACAGTTATTTGATGTTTCTTACTGTCGCCTCGTTTTGTGCGGCGCTGACGGAGCCGCTCCGGCTTGCATTCGGGGTGGATGTCACATCTGCCCCGTTTCGTACGCTTTCTCGTGTTTTCTTCCACCTCCGGCCTGCTCATGCATTGCCTGAGCCGTCCTGGTCCTTGATCAGGGTACCTTCTTGTCTTCTCAGTTTGTGGTAGCCCCTTCGGTTCAGATTTCTGCTCTTTGGTACTGGTGGTAGGTTTGTACGTTTGCAGCTTTTCTCTGTCCTGGCGACGGTAGAGTCGGCTGCTTTCCGGAGGGGTTCTTGGGTTATTGATGCTTGATTGGTTTGGCCGGGGGTGCGTCCTGTGTTGTCCGGTTGCGCTTTTTGCCGTTACCTGCGTACCGTGTCTGGGGATGCACTTTGGGTTGATCCGGTTCCCCTCGTTCCCTGTTTCAGGGCTTGGGTCTCCCAGGTCATCCGCAGAGTTTTTCAGTCTTCCAGCCTGCGGTCTGTCCTTGCGCCCGTGCTGTTCGGACGTTTGCAGCTTTTGCTGCTGTGTTGGTGATGTCTAGGGTTCATTTCGGGCACAGGGATTTGAGGGTCGCACAGGTTCATGGCCGCCCATTCTTTATGCACGTCTGATGCTGTGCGTTCTTGTTGCCTTGGGTCGCAGGTTGCAGCCTGTTGTCTCGGCTTCACGTTGCGGAGTTTGTGGTGGCTGCCTCCCGGGTTATCCCTTTCTTTTCCTTCTCTTTGGGTATGAAGCTCCAGGGAGCCGTAAGGGCTCCCCACAGAAAACCAGCGTTAAATGTAATGAAACGCCATTTTCTGGGTGAACCCCGGAGGCTCCCCGGCAACCCTTCCTCCCACCGGTCAGCTGTTTTTTCGCGTTGGTTGAAGCTTAGCTTTAGAACTGAAGCTTGGCAGCCGGCGCGGTAGGTCCGGGGCTGCCCCCTCCCCCTCTCGGGGCGGGAGGGCTGCGCGGACGATCGGTACGGCAGTAAAGTGTGATGTTTGCTTGTTTCCTTGGGATTGTAGGGAGTTTCTACCTCTCTGTTCGTTTTTTTGTTTTAGTTTTTTACCATGTGGGGTTTGTTTTGTTATGCCTACCTTTCTGGGTGCCTAACCCTGGTTGATAGCAGATAAGGAAAACCCCAACCATACGGGGGTTTTCCAGGGCCATTCCTCCCTGAAACCTCTCT